CGGTAAAGTGAAACTTTGTCCACCAAGTCGTCTCGCATATCTATTCAGTCATAGCTATTGTTGTCTTGCCGCTCGAGGTCGCACTAGCTCGGAATGTTGTTTGGTAAATTTAGCCTGCTCCCCTGAATGTGACCAGCTGGTACGAAGTTCAGGTCCCATGGCTAAATTCAGGCCACTGAAAATAAACGCTAAGGTCAGTGAGGTGAGTGTGGGATTTGTAGTAAGATGGGATCGCTTGTATGGTGACCGTCAAAGGTACAGGGTTTGTGGAAAGCCATTCTTTTTTCCTGAAAGCAATCATACTACTTATTGATCATGAGCGGCTCTGCAACTGACATCCGATTCTCATGAAAAAGGTATGTCATAATGGCATCCCTGGGGACAATTAGGTGGGAGAATTTTGATCTACATGAATGTTCAGCCTAATTGCTTGTGAGATCACGCAGTTGGGAGGCTGCAGGTACTCCAAAATGAAATCTATTAGAGTGGAGCAAAAGGAGGTCTACTTGGGCCCAATCGCTTCAAAAAACATTAGTGTTTCTCTCGACATCACGGTGCGTATTCAAAAAATGCTAAGTTTTGTCGCCATCATTGCTAATCTTGTAAAGTTGATTTGCTACCACAGAGGTACAAACGGCATTTACGGTTGTGATTTCATGTGTGTGTGTGGGTGTGGATGCGGGTGTGTGCAATACCAACCACTCAAAATTGATGATCATCACCTGCGTGCGTGTGTGTGTGTCTATACTAGAGCTGGGTACGTGTGATCGACTTCAATTGTATCGCTTCTTCACTCTCTCTCACACTCGCTCCCCCTGGTTTATTCACGTAAAGCAATCGTTTGAATATCCACTAGGAGTCGCCTGCAACTCGTCGACGCAAGGAACTTGATAGCATTCTCAGTGCGATGCCACCTTCACCAACACCCTCGGTAGAGTCCGTGCATGAAGATGGGAAGACTGGCACCGCCTTACACGTCTACGACAATCTTCCAGTCAAACAATCGAATGGACAAAGTCCTGTGAGTGGACCACGAAGTTGGCCTCTGCTTATTGCACTTGAGTCCGTGCTGACCCCAGTTGGCACAGCATTAAATCGATCTCCAGTGTTAAAATCACAAAATTAAGTCGGCATTTGCTACGCATTTTTCCATATAATTAATCCACATATCACGACGGGGTCAAATCCAAACTTTTCTAGAAATGCTGACGTGTACCATTCTTTAGTAATTGTGTTTCAACAATCTAACAAGTCGTGCCAGTACTGAAGTCTTAAGAGAGGCCATCTTTGATAGTAGTCTTCCCACATAAACAAGCTCCAACTAAAAAGGATTATGACAGAACAATTTTCTCTCAAGGAGACACCAGCTGAAGAAGAAATTTGTCCATCCGTTGCTGCAAAGCCTGTATTGGTAACAATTGGACAGAGCATAAATGAGAAAAAGGCACGAAATATGATGGAAAGTATGAAACCCGTCAGCGTGAACGGATCGGTGGGTGAAAATGATCTCAGACCTCCACGTCCCCCACCAGCAAAGGATGACCATGTCTATGCCAACAAATCCTCTGTGAGTCACAATAATTTTTAGGCAAACCCTTGGTTATCCGATAGCCAGCCTCATTTTCCATCGGTAATGCTGCTAAAGTAATGCAAAATTAAGGTCGAATTTGGGTGACACAAGAGGACTGCTCTTACCTCATTTGTGTGCCCTAAAATGGGTGCAACCAACGTGATGTTTTTCTGCTCAAAATTTTACTCTGTAATTTAGCAATGTTAGGTAGAATATGTCGAAAAAGAAGTGCATTATGACGACTATTTTACCGTGCTCGTTGTCTTCATCCCCATCAGTCTAACGCATTTGTGGTAAGATCTAAAATAAGCACAATCGTGTAGCTTTTTCGCATAGCTTAACAAAATCTTACCCGTTTGCTACGTTGTTAGAATAACAATTTTGATTCAGAACTACTACGCCCTCATGAATAAAAGGTGAGATATTTTATTAGAGATGAATAGTGGGGTGTAATAGCCCGTGACGAATCATTAAAGTGTTTACCTGTATAATTTATTGCCTGTTATGTTGTTTCAACTCAATTTCTTGTATCCAGTCAAATGGTGGCCTTCAGCAACACTAATCGAATGAGCGAAAAAGGTCTTAGTGTGTTGCATAGTAGGCCTTTTGTCTTTCAATGTCAGTAATCCATCACAGTCATTAAAATGTATTCTCTTTATTCCGAGAAGAGCAGAAGTCATGACTCAAATAAATTTTGAAAGATGGACTAGAATCTACAGTGATTAGCTATTATGCACTCGGGATGCAGCTTTGGTCCTATTGTGCGCACAAATTGGCGAAGTAGTATCCTCAATGGATCAATTAACTTCGTTTGCAGCAGAAGCCATTTCAGCCATGTTGCGGTGTGGGAAAAGTAAGGGCCTTGTGTCTCCTTAGATTGCATCATCTGCATATCTGCAGCAAATGAAATGTTGCTTTCTTTGTTTCTATTTCAAAGACGGCCTTTTTCCTATGGAATTGGAAGGATTGGTTAAGGTTGAAGGTAATTTTCCCTTTTTTACTAGTTTTATAGCACAACTCTATGGATGCTGGTGGGACTTAATAGACATAATTGTTGCTGTTGGGCAAGACTGTGTTTCTTGGTAGACAAAAATCAATAACATCCCTTTGGAATGATTGATGCGCTTCTTTTGCGCATCATTTGAAGTTC